CTCCCCCGTCCCTCCCCTCCTCTCCCCGCTGCTGCTGCTGCTGCCGCTGCTCTAAAGGGTGCAGTGTTTTCTGTGCACACAGACTCCAGCATTGATGTGGCTGCAGGATGCTTCCATTGAGGGCAGCCCATCTGTGGCAAATGCTTCTAAACGCACTATTTACCTCCCATCTGGTCTGCCTTATTATTGGGGGGAGGGGGAAGGGTCATTATTTCTCCCTTCCCCTTCGTGGTGCTCAGAGGCGCCTTTCTTTCTCCCCTTGCAGCCCCCCTCCCCCATGCCATGCCCCAAAAAAATTCTTTGCAATTTTTTTTGAGACCTCTTTGCAGCCCTCCTCTCCCGCTAACCCGCCCCCCCCCAGGAGCCCCTGCCGAGGGCGGATTAGGAGCGGTACCCCCTTCCGCAGATACAGCACTTCCCCCGGGTCCTCTCCATCCAGCCGGCGACTCTATCCCAGATCTTCCAAATGCTGCAGAGTCATGGTACCCCAGAGAGGCCGAGCCAGACTCCCTCGACCCCGCTGCTAGCTCGACGCCCCCTCCCCTTTGTCCGTCAGGGAGTCCCCAGGGTCAGCAGCTCAACGAGGCCGGCGCAAGCCCGCGTATTCCCAAAGGGCTTCCGCACAGATGAAGTTTCAGCAAGGAGCGTGTCTAGGCCCCCGCGTCTTCCCTGGCAGGGTCCCTGCAGGCTACCGGTAGGAGATACACCCAGGCTCCCCTAAAGCCGCAAACAAAAAGCAGGCATGCCCCCGGGGGACAACGGGGTTTTCCGAGGGGCAATAGGGCTTATTTCCCAGAGCCTGCCGGCCGGCCATGGGAACTGGGAGCGCTTTGCAGAGCCACTGGCTGTAGGGAGGACCGGTCGTCGTGCTCCCCAAAATCCTCTGGCACCTGGTCTGTACAAGTTGCTGCCTCCCGGCCCTTCTGTCCCGGCCCTCCCAGCCCCACCGTGCCCCTCCCCGCCGGGAATCCCGTGGACCATTTCAGAGGGATGCAGTTGCTGCGTTTTGGTTTTGCCTGAAGTGGCTCCCAAATTTAGAGTTAACTTGACAGGGATTTTCTTCAGCTCCTGACAATTCAGTGCTCTCCTCGCCCTCGGTGGTTTGGGCTGGGTCTGTGGGTGTATTTCATTTCTCTCACGCATGCAGTCAAATAATTCACAAAGCTGATACCAGCTTCTGGCTCGACAGTAAAGCGTGCGCTCTGGTTTAGTGCCTGTTCAGCTGCTTTTCCCAAACACTTCTTGGAGCAGCGTTTCGGTTGCGTTCTCCTGGCTGTGCTCCTCAGCAACCTGATACGGCTCGTCCTGTCCGCTCGTCCTCTGAGCGCGTCTGCCGGACGAGCACCGCGCTCGGGACTGTCCCACGGCCGAAGAGAGGCAAAACACGCACGGCCCGGGTGCGGCGGAGGGGGAGGCGGGGGGTGCGCGCCGCTGTGCTGGATCTGCAGGTCGCTACAGGAAAGCCGAGGTGCCGGGAGTGAAAGCGAGAGGAGAGGTGGGAAAGAACGCGTAGAGGGCAGCAGTGGGGATAAGATCTTTCCTTCCCCTGAGGGGGCTTGGGGCTGCTCCTCCTCTGGGGGGAAAAAAAAAAAAAATCGTAATCCCAAACCCAGAAAATAACAAGCCCCAGGAGCGAACCGGTAGAGCTGTTCTTTTGGCTTATGCATCCTGAGCTGGTTTGCGTATTTTCTGCGCATCTGTAGCGAAAACATAATTAACATGTGGTTATTATTTTCTCTCCTGAGTAACTTTCCCTTGCCCTCCTCCAGGCCTCTCATCAGAACAGGCCTAATCAGATTTGGGTGGCTTGAGAGCCGGGACTGTGCACTGAGAAGGGGGCATCTGCCTTGGGTGGTGGTCAGAGCAGATGGTGGTCTTCTCAAAGAATGCACTGGGAATAGGAACAGCAGTGCGGACGGATGTCTGGCACAGAGACTGTTCAGATTTCTTTTTCCCAGATGAACGTCCCAAAGATGCTGGACGTTTAACACGTACAATTAAAAAAAACCCTACGCAGACAAACACGTGAGGTTCAGCCGTGTTGGACGTTGTTGTCTCAACAGCCCTGTTCACGTATGGGCTGGATGCTGCGTCCTTTAGGTTGGGGAGTTGGGGAAAAAAACGCGTTTAGGCTGTACTGAGGAGGAGGAGGAGGAGGAGGAGGAGGAGGGTATCTTTGTGTGCTACTGCAGCGCAGACAATGGCTACAGCCCGAAGAGCCCAGGTCGGCCCTTCTTCCACGAGGCTAGCGCGTGCTAAGGTGTAAGACACCTCGTTATCTGCCGACCGGGCCCAACCCCGGTGCTGGATGCACGGCGCTCTCCCTTCTCCCCAGATTTGCTAAGAACTGTGGGAGAATTTGCTCGTGACAAGGTGCTAAGATGCAGTTCATTATGATCTGGTGTCCCTCTTGTCCTAAGCATTTAGCATCATTTAGACAGTCTTTCTCGTACAAACGTGGGGCGAGATGGAGCCGCGGCGCAGGGAAAGGGGCAGCGCTTGGGTGACGGCCGGCGATGCGGCTGGGTTTGGCTGGAGCAGCGGGGCGGGCAGGGGAGGGTCAGCCTCAGACTTCGGTTGGGGCATTAGATGCCGGAGGGGTTACGCGCACTCTCTGAATCAACGCCGTACTTCGCCGTGCGTGGTGGGAGCTTGTCACAACTCCGGCGCGGTGGCCGGCCTCGCAGGACAGATTCATCCTGGCAGCCCGTGGTGCAGGCTGGAGCGCGGCGGGATGAGGCAGGGGGAGCCTGGCGTCAGACCGGCCCTTCGGGGCGTGCGCGGAGGCTCGGGCGTCGGGTGGGCTCTGCAGCGCTGCCCACG